GGAAAAGAAGAAAGAAAGAAAGAAAGAAAGAAAGAAAGAAAGAAAGAAAGAAAGAAAGAAAGAAAGAAAGAAAGAAAGAAAGAAGAAAGAAAGAAAGAAAGAAAGAAAGAAAGAAAGAAAGAAAGAAAGAAAGAAAGAAAGAAAGAAAGAAAGAAAGAAACCGTGGGAAATAGCCTAGGCTATTATGATGGGATTGTGGGAGCTTGATGTTGGAGAGGTATTTGGGGGGGGGGGATCAAGCACCCCCCCCCCCCCCCAAAATTAACTTGGAAAGGCTCACTTTTGTGGCACGTTGCCTCCACGACCTGAGAATTTGGGCTTTTTGTTAAAATGGGTTAAATTCCAGATTAGACTCTGACCAGCCATTAGTCAGGATGACCACAAATATAAGTTTAAATTGCATTTTTTTGCAAGGAACCAGGGGGTAATTGCAATATGAATACACTTTGGTGTGAGGAATTTAAAGACAAGAAGGCATCTGAACCAGCTTGATTTGATTTCCAAAGCAATAAATAAAAACAGAGCGGAAGTCACACATAAGAAAAATATATATCAAAAAACAGGTTATCCTGGGGAACTCTCTGCCACCAGATGTGCCAACAGCCACACATTTAGAAAGAAAGTGGGTGAATTCCAGAAGATTAGACTCTGACCAGCCGCTAGTCAGGATGACCACAAATATAAGTTTAAATTTCAAGAAGAGACTGCACTGCCATCTGTCAGAAATGGTGTTAAGGTCTCCTGCTTGGATGGGTCGGTGAGTGGGTTGGGCTAGATGACCTATCAGGTCCCTTCCAACTCTGTTAATCTGTAAGTAAGTGTATTTGGCTGTACCCTAATTTTTGTTGGCATGAGAATAAAGGGTTTAAGTTTACATTTCAAGAAGAGACTGGACTGCCATCTGTAAGAAATGGTGTTAATGCCCCCAGCTTGGGCAGGGGGTGGGATGGAGGGTTGGACTAGATGACCTACTAGGTCCCTTCCAACTCTGTTAACCTTCTGTAAATAAATGACCTTCCCTTTTTCCTTTTTTAAAATAAGAAAACATGAGTTTTGCAAGGGGAGAAATATCGATGTGGGGAAAATATTGGCTGTCAAAACCTGCAAATTGGAAAGAGGATGGCGAATTTGAGCAAAAGCAATTTCGAAGGAGGAAATATTTCAATTTTTATTCTCCCCGCCCCCCCACACACAGGGCGGTCTGTGCGTGCCGGTAATCCTCGGCTAACGACCGGCCATCGAGCCCCCACCACCACCACCAACAGTTCTGCTGCTAAGTGAGACATCGCTTAAGCGAGCTTGGCCTCGGCCACAGCAGTGAAGTAAATCCCGACAGCCGATCAACTTAATCCCCAGCCCCTGGCCATGGAGTGAATCTGGCTTTCTCCATCGTCGTAAGGGGATCCCGCCACTGTCATAAATACGAGTCAGGCTGAATTTTGATCGTGCGGCTTCAGAGAATGGCGGGTTCCGCCACCAAGCGTCCTGTGTGGCTCAAAAGCTTGCCAGCATGGAGAAAGTACATGCATCTATATATCTCCCCCCCCCCACTTCTCCCTCCCAAATCGGATCCCTGCAGGCCAGATGCTCTCAGCTCATGTCCTTTGTTGGGCCTTTTAATCCCATGAATGAGCCGCGGTGTGGGAAAAAGAACGTCTATCGGGTCACACCACCAGCCAAGCATCAGGTCCTGGCCCCCTTGGAGTCGCCCCTTTGAGATGGAGACACTGGCCATGGGCACCACACTTCCCTGACCCAGCTTGGGGAGGGGGTGGGTGGGTGGGCAAATCCCCTTTTAATTTTAATATATATATTTTTTAATCTGTAGGTTAAGGAGAGGCCAGAAATGAGGAGAGAGAGGGAGGGAAGAGGAAGAAGGGATCGTAGAAATAAATATCGGGAGTGTTTGGGATCAATACGTTGTGCCAAAAAATGATAATAAGGGTAAAAGAGTTTTAAGTTTCCAAAAGACATCGATCTGGGATGCTTTTCTATGAATAGATAGATAGATAGATAGATAGATAGATAGATAGAGATGGTAGATAGATAGATAGATGATCGTTAGAGATAGATAGAGATAGAAAAATAGATGATAGATGGATGATAGATAGATACATATAGATATAGATATATAGATACAGATAGATAGATGATAGATAGATAGATAGATAGATAGATAGATAGATAGATAGATAGATA